CCCGGGAAGGATGAAGACAGAGGACATCCTCCTGGGAAGGATGAAGACAGAGGACCTCCTGGGGAAGGATGAAGAACAGAGGACCTCCCGGGAGGGATGAAGACAGAGGAGATCCTCCTGGGAAGGATGAAGACAGAGGACATCCTCCTGGGAGGGATGAAGACAGAGGACATCCTCCTGGGAAGGATGAAGACAGAGGAGATCCTCCTGGGAGGGATGAAGACAAAAGACATTCTCCTGGGAGGGATGAAGACAGGGCACATCCTCCTGAGAAGGGTGAAGACAGAGGACATCCTCCTGGGAAGGATGAAGACAGAGGACATCCTCCTGGGAGGGATGGGAGGGGATGAAGACAGAGGAAATTCTCCTGGGTGGGATAATGAGATTCTTCTGGTATGGATGAAGACAGAGGATTAAAGGTAGAGATTTTCCTGGGTGGGATAAAGACAGACAACATCCTTCTGAAAGGCATAAAAACATAAGAGATGCTTCTGAATATAACAAAGACTACAGAGACCTTCACGGGTGGGATAAAGACTTAGGACATCCTCCTGGTTAGGATAAAGACAGATGACTTCCTCCTGGGTGGGGTGAAGACAAAAAGACATGAAAAATGAATGAAGAAAAAATGCAGAGGACATCTTTCTGGATTGGATAAAGGCAATGGGGATACATCCGGGTAATATGAAGACAGAGGACATCCTCCTGGGTGGGATAAGGCAGAGAACATCCTCCTGAAAGGCATAAAGACAAAGGAGATCCTCCTGGGAAGTATTAGGACAAGGACATGCTCCTGGGTAAAATGAAGAAAGTGCAGAGGACATCATTATGGATGGATAAAGCCAAAGGGGATACTTTTGAGTAAATTAAAGACAGAGGACATCCTACTTGGTGGGATAAAGCAGACAACATCCTCCTGGTAGGAATAAAGACAGATGGGTGACATTTAGACTGAAGACATCCTTCAGCGTGAGATAAAAACAGAGGACATCCTCCCAGGTAGGATAAAGACAGAAAAATCCTCTCAGATGATAAAAAACAGAGGCGAGCCATCTGCGTGGAATGAAAGTAGGAAAGAAGACAGAGTAAATCCTCCTGGGAGGGATGAACACAGAAAACATCCTCCTGCGAGGGATGAAGACTGAGGATGTCCCCCTGGAAGAGATGAAGACTGAGGACGTCCCCCTGGGAGGGATAAAGACAGATGTTCCCCTGGGTGGGATAAAGATGGAGGACATCTTCTTGGGTGGGATAAAGACAGATATCATTTTTCTGGGATGGATGAAGACGGAGGACATTTTCCTGGGAGGGATGAAGACGGAGGACATTTTCCTGGGAAGGATGAAGACAGAGGACATCCCCTTGGGTGGGATAAAGATAGCAGATGTCCCCCTGGGTGGGATAAAGACAGAGGACATTTTCCTGGGAGGGATGAAGACAGAGGACATCCTCCTGGGAGGAATGAAGACAAAGGACATTTCCCTGGGAGGGATGAAGACAGAGGACATCCTCCTGGGAGGGATGAAGACAGAGGACATCCTCCTGGGAGGGATGAAGACAGAGGACATCTTCCTGGGAGGGATGAAGACAGAGGACATTTCCCTGGGAGGGATGAAGACAGAGGACATCCTCCTGGGAGGGATGAAGACAGAAAATGTCACCCTTGGAGGGATGAACCCGGAGCACTTTCCCCTGAGAGGGAAGAAGACGGAGGACCTCCCCCCCTGGGAGGGGTTAAGACGTTTTACACCAACCTCTCTTTATAGATTTGTTCTGTGTAATGGTAGACTTACTGCCATAGTTCTGACCAATGAGAAACTTCAGAGATCTGTGTAATCCACAAGACCCCCCCCCCCCCCCCCCAAATAAATATTTATTACAAGTGTGTGAAATAAAAAAGTTACAATGTAATGAAATCCACAACCCTTCATAGATGTACTTTGTATTCATCCCACCTCTAGGGGCGCTGACACCGAGAGAGCGCCTCACTGAACACGCAGCGACCGACCTCTGTGTGGGCGTGGTAATAGAATGGCTACATCACATGCTCGCTAGAGGGCGTGCGGGGATGCGCACGCCGCATGTGCGTCTTTCATGCCGCGCGACAGTACTGGCAGAAACGTGTTTGCTTTACGGCTCTGCGGTGGGCAGGACAGGCTAGGTGGGAGCGCGACAGTCCTGGCGGGGGGGAGGAAGCGCTCGCTTTACGGCTACTGGCTCCCACGTGTAGAGGGTGAGTAGAGGAAAAGCTCCTGGTTTGTGGTGTTGGGGAACTACAAGTCTCAGCATGTGGGGCAGGCTGGGGGGGCTGTAGTTGTACTGCTTCTGCAGTGGCCCTCGGGTCAAATACCCAGGTGGGGCCCCCAGGGGCCAGGCACCTACCTGTGGCAAATGGATATGGAGAAGGAGGCGGCATGTGTTATTCCTGCTCTGTAAGGGCTCGTTCACACTTGGCTGTTTTGCCAACGCTTGCCAAACGCCCCTATAGCGTTTGGCAAGCGTTGGTCCGGCGTTTGCAGGAGCGTTTTTTTTAACGCTCGGCAAACGCCGCATGCGCGGTTTAGCGGAGGTTGCTAGGCGTTTGCCGAGCGTTAATAACGCCCCACAAAAGCCTATAATGCAGTTTGAGTGGTGTTACCGCTCCGCAAACGCCCCGCAACCGCACCGCAAACGCCGGCCGGGCGTTTGCGGAGCGGCACCATAGACGAGAATAGGAGGCTTCAAAGCCTCCTGACTCGTCCAGAGGCGTCCGTTTTGCCGCGACGCAACCGCTCCCGTTAGAACAGCACCATGTGCTGTAATGTGCAGAATTGGCAGAGGCGTTTGGGAAGCGGTAAAAACGCTTCCCAAACGCCTCTCTGCCGCCTGCACACAAGGCTAGTGTGAACGTAGCCTAAGTGTGAGGAGGACCTGTCATCACTCCATGCCTGCCTGCTCACATAATAATGACACCATCTCCGACTTTCAGCTGAGAGTCACCCCCCTGACTCCTCCCCTCTGAGGCGCCAGCCAATCAGGATCTTGTATGATAGAGGGGAATGTAGCCAATCTGTGAGGGTTGTGTTGTAGGGTAGGGTGGTGCCCTGAGGGGGTAGCGAATGCTGATGGACGGATGGTGTATGGGGGGGGATCACAGATAGATGCGGGGAGTACGGGGGATGATCGGCGACAGACGGACGGTGTACAGGGGGTGACCAGAGCTGTATGGGGGATGATCGGCGACAGACGGACGGTGTACAGGGGGTGACCAGAGCTGTATGGGGGATGATCGGCGACAGACGGACGGTGTACAGGGGGTGATCAGAGCTAGATGGGGGATGATCGGCGACAGACGGATGGTGTACAGGGGGTGACCAGTGCTAGATGCGGGGTGTACGGGGGATGATCGGCGACAGACGGACGGTGTACAGGGGGTGACCAGTGCTAGATACGGGGTGTACAGGGGATGATCATCTGATGCCGATCGCTCCCTACACCATCTGTCTGTCGCTGATCATCCCCCGTACACCCCGCATCTGTCTCTGGTCACCCCCTGTACGCCGTTTGTCGCTGATCGTTCCCTGCACCGTACGTCTGTTGCCAATCATCCCCCGTACACCCTGCATCTGTCTCTGGTCACCCCCCTGTACGCCGTTCGTCTGTTGCTGATCGCTCCCTGCACCGTACGTCTGTTGCCAATCATCCCCCATACACCCCGCATCTGTCTCTGGTCACCCCCCTGTACACTGTCCGGTCTGTCGCCGATCATCCCCCATACATCCCGCATCTAGCTCTGGTCACCCCCTGTACATCGTCCCTCGGTCACCAATCATCCCCATGCATCTAGCTTTGGTCACCCCCTGTACACTGTCCGTCTGGCGCCAATCATCCCCATGCACCCCGCATCTAGCTCTGGTCACCCCCTGTACACCGTCTGTCGGCAATCATCCCCCCGTACATCCCGCATCTAGCTCTGGTCACCCCCAGTATGCTGTCTGTCTGTCGGTGACTGCTTCCGGCGCCATTCGTCTATCGCCGAGAGCTGGGGTGTGATCTGCAACAGGTGGATGATGTAGATGGAATGATTGGTGACAAGTGGATGGATGGTGTACTGGGGGTAATCGGCGACAGACTGTTGGTGTACCGGAAAGGTCAGTGTGTGTGTATATATATTTATTTTTATATAACATTTCTTCCCTCTTGTGTTTTCCAGCCGTCACCCTCTGATACAACACACCATGGAGGAAGATCTCTTTGTGAGCGAATTTAACGTGAGCGCCAGCGAGGATGAGGTGAGCGAACCTTCAAAGGTCCAGTCTTTCGTTAGCCCCAGAACAGAGTAAAGACATTGGGTTTTTCATGTTATCACTCACTCCTTCTGTTGCATCTTTCTGCTGATAGTGCTGGTTAGACGGCGTGTTCTACAGACATGTCTGGTTTCGGCTCTGCCTGACTCCCCTCCCAGAGCTTTGACAGCCTCTAAGTAATGAAATAAATTCCACAAATATAAACCTGGGGGGAAGGGCGCTCACATTTAATGTGACTTTGGATGTTTGCGACTTTAATGCAACTTTTTTTTTGTTTTGTTTTTTTTTTTCCTCCTAATAGAGTATTACGGTTCTGTTCATGTAATGCAACTTTGATGTGACTTTGCACACTCTGGCACAGAAGTTGCACCCATCTAAAAATCGCATCGAAGTCCCGTCAAATCCCATACTTTTCTGTTGGCAAAAAAACGAAAACACAACACGGCAAAAGTGCACATTCAGTAACACAAAACGCACCAGAAAACACAGCAAATGTAGCCTAGCCTGATAGATGATCAGCAGAGGGGATGGGGGGATCTCAGCAGAGGGGATGGGGGGATCTCAGCAGAGGGGATGGGGGGGAGGGGGATCTCAGCAGAGGGGATGGGGGGGGGGGAGGGGGATCTCAGCAGAGGGGATGGGGGGGGGGGGGGGAGATCTCAGCTGTGTAGACAGGGCTGGCTTTAAGGCTGCACATTTTTTGTAATTAGGATATCCATCTGTATTATAAAATACCATATTTTGCGCTCCATAAGACGCACCTAGGTTTTAGAGGAGGAAAACAAGAAAAAAAATATTCTGAACCAATGGACTGCAGACACAGTACAGGAGATGACCAGAGACTGCAGACACAGTACAGGAGATGACCAGAGACTGCGGACACAGTACAGGAGATGACCAGAGACTGCGGACACAGTACAGGAGATGACCAGAGACTGCGGACACAGTACAGGAGATGACCAGAGACTGCGGACACAGTACAGGAGATGACCAGAGACTGCGGACACAGTACAGGAGATGACCAGAGACTGCGGACATAGTACAGGAGATGACCAGAGACTGCGGACACAGTACAGGAGATGACCAGAGACTGCGGACACAGTACAGGAGATGACCAGAGACTGCGGACACAGTACAGGAGATGACCAGAGACTGCGGACAGTACAGGAGATGACCAGAGACTGCGGACACAGTACAGGAGATGACCAGAGACTGCGGACAGTACAGGAGATGACCAGAGACTGCAGACATAGTACAGGAGATGACCAGAGACTGCGGACAGTACAGGAGATGACCAGAGACTGCGGACACGGTACAGAGATGACCAGAGACTGCGGACACAGTACAGGAGATGAACAGAGACTGTAGACACAGTACAGGGGATGACCAGAGACTGTAGACACAGTACAGGGGATGACCAGAGACTGTGGACACAGTACAGGAGATGACCAGAGACTGCGGATACAGTACAGGAGATGACCAGAGACTGCGCGGACACAGTACAGGGGATGACCAGAGACTGTAGACACAGTACAGGGGATGACCAGAGACGTAGACACAGTACAGGAGATGACCAGAGACTGCAGACACAGTACGGGGGACGGCCAGAGACTGCGGACACAGTACGGGGGACGGCCAGAGACTGCGGACACAGTACGGGGGGCGGCCAGAGACTGCGGACACAGTACGGGGGGCGGCCAGAGACTGCGGACACAGTACGGGGGGCGGCCAGAGACTGCGGACACAGTACGGGGGGCGGCCAGAGACTGCGGACACAGTACGGGGGCGGCCAGAGACTGCGGACACAGTACGGGGGGGCGGCCAGAGACTGCGGACCTTTGGGAGGGAGGGGGAGCGGGTACCTGAATTTGACAGGTACCTGTTCCAACTTCCGCAGAGTTGTCCTCCCTTTAGTGTGACATCCGGGTGCCCACTGCGCGTGCGCAAGAAGCACTGCGCTTTGTGAATGGTCTGGCGTGTTCTGGGACCTGTCATATGTCCCAGAAGACGCCGGGCCATTCACAAAGTGCAGCGCTCTTGCGCATGCGCAGTGGGCACCCGGATGTCACACTAAAGATGCCGGCGCGGGAAGACTGTACAGCGCTGGACCGAGGAACAGGTAAGGTCCTGCTGCAGGGAAGAGCCGAGCGGGCGGGCCCCCGGTATTCTGACATGGTGGTGGAAATACCGGACCGGCCGCTCCATATATTCGCTCCATAAGACGAACTGACATTTTCCCCCCTTTTTTTGGGGGAAAAAGTGCGTCTTATGGAGCGAAAAATTAGGTATGTGTTAAACAATTATAGTAAAATTTATGCTAAATATCTTTCTCATAATAAAAATGCATATTTGAATATGGTAACACCTCATAATGGGCACAGTGGGTGTACAGACCTGAGAACTCGGCACAGGGATGGTGGGAACCCCTCATAATGGGCAAACCTATGGTAAAGCCTCCACCAAACCCTGCAATGTCAGATATGGGTGGACTGGCCCTATCCTAGCAGTGAGGTTACATGGTGATCCTGGAAGTCCTGATGACGCCGCTGTTTTTTTAAAATTATTTTTTAGCAGGAGGAAAGCGATTCGAAGCGCAAACACCAGAAGCTGCTGGATGCCGTCTCCTCTCTGTCTGGAAAGAAAAGGTCAGACCAATCATCTGCAGAAGTCAAATGTTGTTCTTCAATATTTATAGCAGAACTCCAGACCATCAGATTCAATATATATAATATAAGGGAACTGTTTTACCTGCCAAATGAGTTATATTTCTGTCCATCCAGTCCTAAGAATTACACAGCCCTGCCACACAGCACTGCCCCCTGTCTCTGCTACAGTTCAGTAATACAGGTCTTGTCCCTCCCCCAGCCTGTGATTGAGCTCATCTCTCTTCCTATAAAGCATGTTTATTGTCCGCACACGAGTACTACGGCACAGCTGATTGGCTCCTTATGCTTCTTCTTCATACGCCAGCCTGAGCCCTGCTGTACTTGGTCTTTGAGGCAGATTCAGGCTCTGGCTGTACCGAAAGTAATGCAAAAGTGGGCGTAACGTATATGGTAACCATACATATGTCGTTCAAATTTCACATATTGGTCTAGCGGCCCCTTCCCCCCCCCGTCTGGCGGCCCTTCCCCCCCCCCCCTCTGGCGGCCCTTTCCCCCCCCCCCCCTCTGGCGGCCCTTCCCCCCCCCCCCTCTGGCGGCCCTTCCCCCCCCCCCCCCCCCCATCTGGCGGCCCTCTGGCGCCCCCCCCCCCTTGGCGGCCCCCCCCCCCCCCTCTGGCGGCCCTTCTCCCCCCCCCCCCTCTGGCGGCCCTACCCTTAGGTAACCCTTCCCTCCCCCCCCTCTGGAGGCCCTTCCCTCCCCCCCCTCTGGCCCTTCCCTCCCCCCCCCCTCTGGAGCCCTTCCCCCCCCCCCTGGCGGCCCTTCCCTTCCCCCCCCTCTGGAGGCCCCTCTGGCCCCCCCCTCTGACGGCCTTTCCCCCCCCCCTCTGGAGGCCCTTCCCCCCCCCCCCTCTGGCGACCCTTGGGCGACCCTTACCCCCCCCTCTGGCGGCCCTTCCCAAATAAAATAATGGATTCCGAGCAGAAGCAAGGTGCCGTCATTCTTGATGATGGAGGGGTGCAAGCTGTCCGACCCCACAGAAGGCTACAGACTGTTTATGGAGATGACACCATTGAGGACATCAATGACTGATAAAGAATGGGAAACCCGCAATGGAAGACAAACCACACAGGGGGACCCCCCCCATCAGCGTTGGACAGCTTGCACCCCTCCTCATCATGAACTCAGCGTCGGCACATTGCTTCTGCTTTTAATGCATTATTTACCTCCAATGAAAATTAAGAAGAATTGGAGGTAAATGGAGCAGGGGGTCTCCAAACTTTCCAACAAAAGGGCCAGTTTATTATCCTTCAGACGGGCTGGACTGTAGGTAGTGGGAGAAGAAAAGGTCTTGGCGACAATGCCCCATCATGGTGTCAGTGGGAGGAATAGTGCCCCATCTGTTGGGTCAGTGAGAGGAAATGCCCCATCATTGGTGTCAGGGGAGGAATAATGCCCCACTTGGGTGTTAGGGGAAGAACAGCGTCCCACCGTTGGGTGTCGGAGGGAGGAACGGCGTCCCACCCGTTGGGTGTCGGAGGGAGGAACGGCAGCATCCCACCGTTGGGTGTCGGAGGGAAAACGGGGTCCCAGCGTTGGGTTGTCAGGGAGAACGGGTCCCAGCGTTGGGTCCGGAGGCAGGAACGGTTTCCCAAAAGCGTTGGGTGTCGGAGGAGGAACCTTCCCAGCGTTGGGTGTCGGAGGCAGGAACGGGTCCCAGCGTTGGGTGTCGGAGGCAGGAACGGGTGCCCCATCGTTGGGTGTCGGAGGCAGGAATGGGGTCCCCAGCGTTGGGTGTCGGAGTCAGAACGGGTCCCAGCGTTGGGTGTCGGAGGGAGGAACGGGGTCCCACCGTTGGGTGTCGGAGGGAGGAACGGCGTCCCAGCGTTGGGTGTCGGAGGCAGGAACGGGGTCCCAGCGTTGGGTGTCGGAGGGAGGAACGGCGTCCCAGCGTTGGGTGTCGGAGGCAGGAACGGGTCCCAGCGTTGGGTGTCGGAGGCAGGAACGGCGTCCCAGCGTTGGGTGTCGGAGGGAGGAACGGCGTCCCAGCGTTGGGTGTCGGAGGGAGGAACGGCGTCCCACCGTTGGGTGTCGGAGGGAGGAACGGCGTCCCAGCGTTGGGTGTCGGAGGGAGGAACGGCGTCCCACGTTGGGTGTCGGAGGGAGGAACGGCGTCCCACCGTTGGGTGTCGGAGGGAGGAACGGGGTCCCAGCGTTGGTGTCGGAGGGAGGAACGGGTCCCAGCGTTGGGTGTCGGAGGGAGGAACGGGTCCCAGCGTTGGGTGTCGGGGAGGAACGGGGTCCCAGCGTTGGGTGTCGGAGGGAGGAACGGGTCCCAGCGTTGGGTGTCGGAGGGAGGAACGGGGTCGCAGCGTTGGTGTCGGAGGGAGGAACGGGTCCCAGCGTTGGGTGTCGGAGGGAGGAACGGGGTCCCAACGTTGGGGTGGTCGGAGGGAGGAACGGGGTCCCCACCTCGGGGGTCGGCGGGAGGAACGGGGTCCCACCGTATCGGGTGTCGGAGGGAGGAACAGGGTCCCCACTGTTGGGGTCAGTGGGTGGAACACTGCCCTAAGGACTGGATAAAGGCAAGAAAACGACCACATTTAGCCCCCATGCTGCAGTTGAGACCCCTGGTAAATGTGGTTCCTCTACCAATGTAAATGTTTCGGCAATTGTAGGGTTCAATCAGGCGGTGAGAAGGTGATATATCGCCTTATGGCAGTCCCTGTGAACTAGCCCCAATAAGTACACCCTTGATGAAGTCCTTTCTGACGAAACGCGTTGGGCGGAGCCTAGTCACGCAGTCTGAGATTACAGACGGACATTCTGCGGCAACATGGCAAAGAATTTCGTAACACAATGCGGTAAAATCCTGATATATTGATGTATATTGAGCTTTTTTTTTTCTCCCTCCCAAAAACAGGCGCAGGTTGGCGGAGCGCACAGAGGCCAGTTTGCACGTGTCAGAATTCGGCATCAGCACTGAAGGTTGGACCTTTCTGTTCTTTTATTCTCATTTTACACATTTATGTATAATGCTGACCCAGGGCGGACTGACAACTCATGGGGCCCCCGGGCAATAGGGGATCATGGGGCCCCTGTGTCCTTGCCCAAACTCAAAAAAGCCTATGAAAAAGGTACCAGGGGAATCTCATGGGCCCCCTACTGACCCCAGTTTTCCAAATGGTCAGTCCGCCCTTGTGCTGACCTATTCTATAGTGCTCAGTGCCATCCATTGACTGAGATGTGAGTTCATAGGAGGCCTCTCCGATTTTCTCTTTTCTGAGGCTTGCTCCTGATTGCTGTTATAGAAGAGGGCTCTGGGGCATGATTTGTATACACTTCAAGTGGAAATCCTAGTAACTGCAAGAGAGCTTTTCTGTTGAAAAACAGACTTATTGGCTGGATCACCAGGTGGAAATGGAAGAAAGCAGGCTTCAAA